GGGGGGGAACCCCCTTTTTTTTTCCCTTTTTTTTTCGGTTTTTTTTTTCCTTTTTTTTTTTTTTTTTTTTTTTAACATAAAAGAATATCAGACAAGGAGTTGCTTGTTTTAAAACTTAATTGAAAGAAAGTGCCTTGTGGTGGCTGTTTGCATGGGAGAGAGGTCAGGGAAGGCTTACTCCATGAAGTAGTCCCCTCACCCTCTTTGGTTTTTTCCAGATTCTCTTGTGAAAGGCTGTCTAGTTCCCCTGCATAGAAAAGTATGAAAATATCTGGGAACAGGAAGATAGAAGAGTGTGTCTCCTTGACACATTTCTTTTTAATTGTTTTCTGTCCCAACTCACTGAAGAGAAATTTTTCCTCCCTGAATAATTTCTAGGCACTTGTATTCACTAAAGCAAAAGTGCTGTGAATGTGTTGAGCACTTTATATTTACTTATTTGCTAAAATCTTCTGTAAAAAGTCAGATTTAGAATCTAATGTGATGGGATTTTGCTTAGATGTTGCTAGAAACTTTTTGAAATCTAGCGATCTTTGAAAGATCTAGTATTGGATATTCTTCAGATTTTCCTCATTGTTTGCATTTTGCATTACTGAAGTATCTTTAAATTATTCTTTTCAAATATTCTGTCATTGCCAGGAATCAATGAACATATCTTGACGTTTACTATCACAGTCAAAGGGAATGGGAAGAGTTAAAATCTTCCCAATTCTTTCAGGTTTAAATTTTGAAGCAAGATAGGATCATTGCTTCTTGGAGATTTGTTCCATGTGCTAAGTTAATGTATTAATGTTTTTCTTGGTTTTGTTATTTGACAAATCTTTCCGTCGTGCAGAATTACTGGGAGATGTACTCAAAGATCGGCCACAGGAAGCAGATGGAATCGATTCAGTGATTGTAGTGGACAACGTTCCTCAGGTGGGACCAGACCGACTTGAGAAACTCAAGAATGTCATCCACAAGATCTTTTCCAAGTTTGGGAAAATCACAAATGATTTTTATCCAGAAGAGGATGGAAAGACGAAAGGGTATGTTCTCCTATCTCCAAAGTCTGTGTTTGCCTTGGTGTCTGACACATCCTCATGACCTTGTGTTGAAGGAACTCACTGCAAATACACTGCATGTCTTTTCATGGCAGTTCTGCCCCCTTCATTTATTCAGGCCACCACCCTCAGCTGGAAGCTCTAAGGAGCCAAGATTTGGTCCTACGGTCATCAGATAGGAGGTGGTGGGAGGAGGAAATTACAGTATTGTTTTTGAGTTATTATAAGTTGGCTGCTAAGTTGTTAAGAAATCAGAGCTTGATATTTAAATCTTCTGCTATCAGAACAGTAATTGACGTAAGATACATCCTAGGTAAAGGCATTGATGGATCTGGAATTGGCAGAATTTCAGGAATATTTTGCATATGGAATTTTATTGATTCTGATTTGCTTTTTTCACATCTTAACATCTCTGAAATGGGGGTGCTTCTTTTTTTTTTTTAAAAAAAAAAAAGATGACCGGTAAGGGGATCTTAACCCTTAGCTTGGTGTTGTCAGCACCACACTCAGCCAGTGAACGAACCAGCCATCTCTATATGGGATCCGAACCCGAGGCCTTGGTGTTATCAGCACCGCACTCTCCTGAGTGAGCCACGGGCCGGCCCTTTTTTTTTTTTTTTTTTTAAAGATGACCGGTAAGGGGATCTTAACCCTTGACTTGGTGTTGTCAGCACCATGCTCACCCAGTGAGCTAACCGGCCATCCCTATATGGGATCCGAACCGGTGGCCTTGGCGTTATCAGAACTACACTCACCCGAGTGAGCCACAGGCTGGCCCGGGGATGCTTCTTGCAATCTAGATGAAAGCATTGCGTCACTGCTTAATTAGCAACTTTTTTTTCTTAGCGTTACCTAAAATAAGGGTACGGCTTTTAAAAATAATGTTAGCATGAGGTGTGTGTCCTATAGTTTGCTTTTTGGTTCAATATTAGGTCTTCCATGATAATACGTGATTGTAATTTCTTCATTTTAAATGCTGTGACATTCTGTTCTCATATGACAATTTTTCTGCTTTCCTATTGATTGACATTTAGTGCTTTGAAATTATAAACAGTCTTGTACCTGTCTCCTTTTGTACAAGGATGAGATTTTCTTTGTTATACCTAGGAGTGAAACTATTGAGTTGAATAAAATGTCCGTCTTCAGTGCCACTAGGTAATGTTAAATATTGTGCTCTAGAGTAGTTGTTACCAATTTATACTGCTGTGAGTGGTATATGAAAGTTTGTTGTTCCACAGTCTTGTCACACTTTCTCCATTAAAATTTTATGTAAATATCAACTTTTTTTTTTAAAAGATGACCGGTAAGGGGATCTTAATCCCTTGACTTGGTGTTGTCAGCACCACGCTCACCCAGTGAGCGAACCGGCCATCCCTATATGGGATCCGAACCCGTGGCCTTGGTGTTATCAGCACCACACTCTCCCGAGTGAGCCACAGGCTGGCCCAAATATCAACTTTTGAAACTACAAACAAAATAGTCTTACTTTTATAGGAATGAGAAGAGGATAAAGTATATTTTTTAAATTAAGGTTTTGAAGTTTTAAAAAGTACTTAGAAGAGTTTTAATTTCTAGAAAAATTACCAAATACAGGTAATGCTGCTGACCTTTTATATTTTGGGAACTAGGGTGAAAGATAACCTCCTTTTGACTGGCAGTTGCTTGTATTACATGTTTAGTTATACCTTTGTAATTTTGCCTGTAATACACAATAATAGACTATATTTTCTGATTTTTTAACAACTTTATTATGATAATTGATATGCAGTAAACCTGCATAGTTTTAAAGTATACAATTTGATAAGTTTTTTTGTTTTTTGTTTTTTTTTTCCTTTTTTTTGTCTTTTTTCGTGTCTGGCAACGGATCGCAACCCTCAGTGTCGCGCCCATACCGGACCGGGACCGGCAATGGGATTGCAACCCTCGGTGTTGCTCCCGCACCTCGCTCAGCCAGTGAGCGGGAACCGGTCTGTATATGGGATCCGAACCCTCGGCGGGAGCGCCACCGCACTCCCAAGCAGCGCACTGCAGCAGTGCGCCACCGGGCTGGCCCAAGTTGATAAGTTTTGACATATGTTATTCATTATGAAGCCGTCACCAGTCAAGACAATGAATATTTTGATTAATTAACTTTTTTTTAATAATTTATGATTATGAAGTTAGAGACTTTGGATCTTCCAGTTAGGACTTTGTTCTTATTTAGGGAACTACTTGGCTGTGATTTGTAATCAGTTTGACTGCCTTGGCGACGTAGCAGTGAGATGAGTCACAGATACTGAGGTGGAGGGCTTATCTGTGGAGAGCTCTTGGGTGTATGTACATAGCGTGACCTACCTGATCTTAAAGTCTGCACCTGTGCAACTTGCCCTTTTTCTCACTTCAGATATATTTTTCTGGAATATGCGTCTCCTGCCCATGCTGTGGATGCTGTGAAAAACGCTGACGGCTATAAGCTCGACAAGCAGCACACGTTTCGGGTCAACCTCTTTACTGATTTTGACAAGTGAGTTCAGACTTAGCCATGAGAAAGTGGACATTAACAAGTGCATGGGTGGCTTGGCGCTCCTCAGTGGATGCTGGTGGCCTTTCAGGTCGTTCACATCTTTGCTGGTCAGGCCACTGCAGGACCACTCCGTATCCCTACGCTCCTGGCCAGCAGCATAGGGATACAAAATTATATCAGTTTATTATACCAGGTATTATACCAATCACCAGTTATTATACCAATCAAAACTTGTCTGTTTCCCACCTCTTGGAGTGGGCAGGGGAGAGCACAGGACTGCCCAAGATCGAACGACTGCTAGAGTTACTCTTCAGTTCACTTAACCTCTTGCTCCAGTCATTAATGTGTGTTATTCAGCAGTTTCTTTTTCTCTTCCAGGTATATGACAATCAGTGATGAATGGGATATTCCTGAGAAACAACCTTTCAAAGACCTGGTAAGTTGTATAAAATCTGTATGTATGTGGTCAGAAGAAATGCTGGATATCTTGACTTTTGAGATTGTAAATTCCTTGGGTAGTTAAAGATGTTAACTGAATTTGTCATCAGAACAATAGTTGGGATAAGTTTTCTCTGATTAAAATTAATGAAATGTTACTATATCCCTTGCGTTTGGTTCTTTTTTTAGGGAAATTTACGCTACTGGCTTGAAGAGGCAGAATGCCGAGATCAGTATAGTGTGATTTTTGAGAGTGGAGACCGCACTTCCATATTCTGGAATGACGTGAAGGATCCTGTCTCAATTGAAGAAAGAGCAGTGAGTATTTGCTGCCATGAGGGAGACTTACCTCTCCTGTGTTTCCCTAAGAAAGTGGAACTTTGTTTCTATTAGAAACTAGTGGAAGAACAGGTGAAGTTTCATTTTCTTTGAGATTACTCTCTGAGAACAACTTTTATTCCTCTTTCAGCTGTGGAATAAGTTATGAGAAGTGAATAGGGTTCTTATATATTTCAGTTAAGAGTTTGAAGAGTAGATTCATTATAGAAGGAGGGGTCTTCGTGTTTGGCTTTTTGTTGTATTAACATTGGCACTACCTTTTTCCACAGAGATGGACAGAGACATATGTGCGTTGGTCCCCTAAGGGCACCTACCTAGCTACCTTTCATCAAAGGGGCATTGCTCTTTGGGGAGGAGAGAAATTCAAGCAAATTCAGAGATTCAGCCACCAAGGGGTTCAACTCATTGACTTCTCACCTTGTGAGAGGTAAGCTCTACAAAAATGCACACGGAGTCTTTATTCCCCTCGTGCCAACCTGGTACAAATAGCTTTGCAAAACTTTTTATTTCTCAGTAATTTCAAACTTAATAGAAAAGCTGCAGGAGGAGTATAAAGAACTTATATAAAGTTTTTACTGAGATTATCTAGTTAACATTTTGTTACATTTGCCTTATTTTTTCCTCTCTTCAAATATTTATACATATATTTTTTTCCTGAGCCATTTGGGAGCAAGTTGGAGTATCATGTTCCTTTACCACTAAGTCTGTCTTCCTAGGAATGGGAAATTCTCTCAGCACATACAGTGCAGTTACTGACTTGAGAAAATCTAACATTTATTTAACACTTTTATTTAAGGTACTGCCATTTTCTGATTTTGTTATTTAACCCAATAATGTCTTGAATATGAGGGTACTTTAAAAAGTTCATGGAAAAATAGAATTAAAAGATAATATGAATCTTTTCCACGAACTTTTTGAAGTACGCTTGTAATATTTATTTCCCTTTAGTTGAGGATTTGGTCCAAGGTCATGTATTTTGCAAATAATTTTTCTTAGGAAGGACTTTTTCTTATGTCTATGTAGTGGAGATTTGTGTGAGAAGGTGGAGCGTGAGGAAAGCGTGAGGAGCTGTAACCGAGGCCCACAGCGTCCTTGCCCTGTGTGTGCTCTGGGCTTGGAATGCCCTCTCCCTACTGGTTTTCTGAGGCCCTGACTAGGGCTTGTCTCCAAGGTCTTCCCTGTGTTTCTGGTGCACTCCAGTCTCAACCTTGTGGTGTTATCGCCCCTACAACAGTCCAGTATTTTATATGTAGTCTTATTTTATTGTGGGGCTCGTTGGTGGCTCCCTTATGTCCGAGTGCTACTCATACTAAGTGTTGTGCCTGTTTTTCTTCTGAACTTTTTATTATAAAAATGTTCTAATGTATAGAAAACTAAACTAGTGATATCTGTATGCTAATTACCTAAGTTTAGTGATTTCTTTATTTTGCCACATTTGCTTCAAAACGTTTTTTTTTTTTTTGTCTTTTGTCTTTTGTCTTTTTCCGTGTCCGGCAACGGATCGCAACCCTCAGTGTCGCCCCCGCACCGGACCGGGGACCGGCAATGGGATTGCAACCCTCGGTGTTGCTCCCGCGCCTCGCTCAGCCAGTGAGCGGGAATCGGTCTGTATGTGGGATCCGAACCCTCAGGCGGGAGCGCCACAGTGCGCCACTGGGCTGGCCCCTTCAAAACGTTTTTTAATATTTTGAAGTAATAGACTTCTCTATAAAAGTATGTGTCACTACAAAATAAAAGTGTCTTCCAACATAATCACAGTTCTAGTGCACCTAACAATGTTAATAACTTCCTTAGTAACATCTAATGTATTGGCACATATTCAGATTTCATAGCTGGTTTGTTAGAACCTGAATCCAGTCAGGGTGTACACATTGCATTTAGCAGTTGGGTCTGCTAAGCCTCTTTTGTTTTGGACAGCACATCATTCTCTGTTTTTTATCATACTGACTTGTTAAGACGACAGGACCAGATGTCCTTAAACTGTTTCACCTTCTGGATTTATCTGATTACCTGAGGCATCATCTAACTTGTTTCTTTAATCTCGTTTTATTTCCTGTAAACCTTAGGTTTTATCTGATGGATATTTCTTATTTATTTATTTTTTTTTAAAGATGACTGGTAAGGGGATCTTAACCCTTGACTTGGCGTTGTCAGCACCATGCTCTCCCAAGTGAGCCAACCGGCCATCCCTATATGGGATCCGAACCCATGGCCTTGGTGTTATCAGCACCACACTCTCCCGAGTGAGCCACGGGCCGGCCCGATATTTCTTAATTTTGATAAAGAGTGTTTAAATAGTGTATTCTTACATTACCCATTCATTTCCAACTATTTCGCATATGTTTTTGGTGGATAATGTTTCTCATTCCGGCAGCAACATTGTAAAATTGGATTCACGTAGAGATTCTTAGCATGATCTCTGTACCAAGGAAACATAGAGATATATGATGCTTTCTCTATTTCTTCATCTCCTGTGAAGCCATTCTCAGTTCCTTCAGGCATTTAGTTCCACCTGTATTCCTGCAGACATTGTTTAGGGTCACTACACTTGCCACATTATGTTATATTTTATCTGTTTACACATGTTTCTCCACTCAAGAACAGAGACTGGATTATCTCTTCCTCATACTGTACTTTACAAAGTTCCTAACACATGAAATGCCTGAATGGGTGTATGTATGAATGCTTTGGTTATGTAAATGCAATGTGGAAAAACCTGTTTTTCAGTTAAATGCTTCATCAGTTTCTGAGTATTATCTTGTGGGTGGAGGTGACTGATGCCATCATTTTTAATCTAGCTAATCAGAATGTCAAAGAGCCTTACTACAAAGAAAAGATGCAGTCAGTGAAAGCACTATGAAGAAACTTGCTAGGGGGCTGTTTTCTTTCTCATTGCGTTTGTTTCTGCCCTTCCTACCTGTCATTGTTATATGGGGGCAGTTTGGTTTAAGATATTAATACTTTGTGTATACTAAGTGAACAGGTGCTACAGCTATAGACAAGCCAGCAGTCACGTAAGTAATTGCTGGGAGATAATTGCTTGGAGAAGCCTCTAGGCACAGAAGTTTCCCATCAGACTTATACTTGCTTTTGAACCAAATTGTGACCGTCTACTCTTTACCTTGTTAGTCTTAATTAAACATAGATGTAGCGTGAAAATTCCATATACCTCCGTTCTCTAGACTGCTTGAGCAGACTTCTACTTGGGATCTGTTTGATCTTTCCTTGTGCTGATCTTGATGGAGAAGCCATTTATGGTGACCCTTGCAGCGCCCTGGTGCCAAGAATGGATGGGTGCCTTGTGCCGTGAAAGTGCTTGTTTCGCTCTGTTTTTTGAATAGAATCTCCTGATGGAAAACGTCCGGTTGGAGAGCATTCTTGGAGTGTGTTTGGGGAAGTGCAGTTCCATGAGTCTCAACTGCTGTTCTGCCAGGGCCCTGTGCCTGTAATTTCCTTAGTTGTCTATACGGAAGCTCAGCCTCTTTCCACCATGTAGTGGGGACAGATGCTCACCATGGGCACTCACAGAGCTGTGATTCTCACATGACAGGAGATATACAATGTATTCCCGCTCTCTTATAGATACCTGGTGACTTTTAGCCCCCTGATGGACACTCAGGATGACCCTCAGGCAATAATCATCTGGGACATCCTTACTGGGCACAAGAAGAGAGGTTTTCACTGTGAAAGCTCAGCCCATTGGCCTATTTTTAAGTAAGTAAACCAAAGCAATGACCTCTTTGTAGCCTTTTCTTTTTTCATAGAAATAGGCTGACACTTCTTTTTTTCTTCTTAGGTGGAGCCATGATGGTAAATTCTTTGCCAGAATGACACTTGATACCCTTAGCATCTATGAAACTCCTGTAAGTAATGTTAAATATCTAAAAACCAAACTTTTCTGTCAGTTACTTGTAGTCTTCAATAATTTTGCTTGAGGATGTATAGTACTTTTCCTTAATTTGTGGTAGAATGAAAAGGAGGAGGAGCTTTAATATATGCACAATAAAGGCATATTTTCTGTGACTTTTCAATTTCTCATATTCTGTATTGTGCTCTTTTACCATGCCTGCCCCCACTTTTGCTGCTATGGGAAATTAAGGATAGGAGTTAATGAAATTGTCTTCAATAATGTATATTTTGCTTCTGCGGGTGAATTGTTCATCTGTTACCCTCTGTGCTTAAACTACTTCCTAGACAAACTCACATTGGAATCTCATTTCCTTTTTAAAAAAATTGTATGTGTTTTTGAGACATTGGCATGATTTGACTCAACAGTAACCCTTGTTTTTTTGGGCAGTCTATGGGTCTTTTGGACAAGAAGAGTTTGAAAATCTCTGGAATAAAGTAAGTGAGTGTTCTTACCAAGTCAGTATCTTAGTGTGTTCGGGCTGCTGTAACAAAATACCATACACTGAGTGGCTTATAACAGCAGAAATTTATTTCTCAGAGTTCTGGAGTCTGGAAGTCCAAGATCAAGTCACCCGCGGATTTGGTGTCTGGGGAGGGCCTGCTTCCTCATAGACAGCCGCCACCTCACTCCAACCTCACATGGTGGAAGGGATGAAAGATCTTTCCAGGACCTCTTCTATAACAGCATTTGTCTCATTTATGAGGGCCACCCTCATGGCCTGATAACCCCAAGAGGCCCCACCTAATGCCATCACCTTGGGGATTAGAATTTCCATATAAGAATTTGGGGGGGTATAAATATTCAATTTATTGAGATTGGTTTTCTTTATTTGTTCTCCTTCCTTTAGCACTCAGTTTCTAAACAGTTGGGTAAAAGAAACATTGCATACTTGTTCTAAACACAAAGGATGGCACATGCGGACTACTTACTGACTAGGCCGCTTGTTAGTGGACTCCTCCACTTTCACACTCTCACTCTCAGCATTTCTTGTTTCCTGTGCACGTCAATAAAATCTTTGAGGCCAAAGAGTCTTAGGTCTGCTTCATTTCAGGTACCTTGTCTATGAACTAGAAACTCTTGGAGGGAGTTTTCAGCCTTTTAAGGAAGAGGGGGAGACTCTGCTTAGTTGAAAGATCTTCCTTATTACTCTCGTGATCTGTGAGGTGGGGTTTGGGTAGCCTTTAGTTTATTACAGCTCATCTTCAGTCAGAAGAGTGGGCACATTTTTATTTATCTGAAAACTCTTGGAGCTAGTTGATATTGCGGCAGTGAACTACCAGCAGTCTGAGGACATTCACGTTCTTATTCCTTTTATTTTTACATTCTTGGGCAGAATTATGGCTTATAATTAAAAGTAAAACTAGGACGTTGCTTCTCATTAAATGCGAAACAAAGAGAATGTAGCACAAATAAATATGTTTTCCACATGCATGAACTCATGAATTGTCAGTTGCAACAGCTATCCTATAGAGTGATTTATACAATAGAGAGAATTGCTCTAAGTCTTCCTCATTCCTCTTACACTTTTTTTTTTTTAAAAGATGACCGGTAAGGATATCTTAACCCTTGACTTGGTGTTGTCAGCACCACGCTCTCCCAAGTGAGCGAACCGGCCATCCTTATATAGGGATCCGAACCCGTGGCCTTGGTGTTATCAGCACCACACTCTCCCGAGTGAGCCACGGGCTGGCCCTTTCTTACATTTTTGATTTGGGGGTTTCCCCTTTTTGTGCTTTAATTTTTCTTTGGATGTCATATAGCTGATCCCTCAGCCTTAAATTTACTTCAGTTGCCTTGTAGCAGCAGTATGTGGCGGTTAAGGGTATGGGGGTTACAGAGCCTGGGCTGGAATCCTTATTAATCTGCCGTATAACAATGAGTAGGATATTAACATCTTGCTGCACATAAAGCACCTAGAACAGTGCCCCTGTGGAGTAAGCTGTCAGTTAAGTGTTATTTGTTGCTGTATTAATGGGGGTCAGTGTACCAATATTGAGTTTTTACACAGCAAATGAGTTCTTCTGTTCTCTTCTGCTTTTCAATTTTATAATCACTTAGTCTTTGCATAACATTTTATTTTCTTTGTTCTGCAGAGACTTTTCTTGGTCTCCTGGAGGTAACATAATAGCCTTTTGGGTGCCTGAAGACAAAGATATTCCAGCCAGGGTAACCCTGATGCAGCTTCCTTCTAGACAAGAGATCCGAGTTAGGAATCTGTTTAATGTTGTGGATTGCAAGCTACACTGGCAAAAAAATGGTGATTACTTGTGTGTTAAAGTAGATAGGACACCAAAAGGTACCCAGGTAAGTGGATGCCAATAGAAATAGATTATTTCTTATACTTAGCTCTAAACTAGCTACCATATTATTTGGAGGATATTAATAATTTTTTTTTTTTTGTTAAATCAAATTTGTGGGTTATTTTTAGACCCAGCTCCTATTAAAAGTAGTTAGCTGACATGTCATAGCTAGGGCTCTTGTCATATGCTAGCCAAATTGTATAATTTTTTTAAATAAAACTTTTGAATAGATAATACATTCACATAGTTAGAGTTCAGAAGGGAATACAGTAAAATCTCCAGACACTCAGTTTTCTTCTATATTGGTAGTTAAAATATGTATATTCTTTTAAAGCACAGAATAGTATGCTCTACACAGTTTTGCACCCATATTTTTTTGTTTGTATCATGTATTTATCAAAAAAATTACCTGAGTTTTCCTTTTAGTGGAAGTATTCCTCTTCTCTTTACATTAAATTTTTTTTATTGACGTATAATTCACATACTATAAAACTCACCCTTTTAAAGTGATGAGCCAATTCAATGGCATTTAGTATATTCTCAGAGTTGTGCAACTACCACCACTAATTCTGGAATATTTTTATCACTCCAAAAAGAAACTCCGAACCTGTTAGCAGTCACTCACCACTCTCCCACACTCCCTGTACCCTACTGGCTCCTGACATTTACTGATCTACTTTCTGTCTGTGGATTTTCCTGTTCTGGACATTTCATATAGGTGGAATAATACAGTATGTGGCCTTTTCTGTCTGGTTTCTTTCAGTTAGCATAATGTCTTCATGGTTCATCCATATTGTATCTAGCATGTGTCAGAACTTCATTCCTTGTTAAGGCTGAATAATATTCTATTGTATGGATATACCACATTTTATTTATCCATTCATTCATTTATTCATTGAATGTGTTATTGACATCTTTGGGCTATCGTGAGTAGTACAGCACACTGCTTTTTTTTTTTTTTTTTTGTCTTTTTCGTGACCGGTAAGGGGATCACAACCCTTGGCTTGGTGTCACCCGCACCACGCTCAGCCAGTGAGCTCACCGGCCAGTCCTATATAGGATCCGAACCCGCGGCGGGAGCGTTGCTGCGCTCCCAGCACTGCACTCTCCCGAGTGCGCCACGGGCCGGCCCGGGCACCCTGCTTTTTGACACAAGTACTTCTTGAAGATCACGGCTGCAGGATATGCTACCGTATCAAAATAGTTTAATAAGTCCCCATTGTTGGATCTTTAGGGCCCTTCAGAACTTTGGCAAATAAACTGCAGTGAGGATCCTTGGACCTATGTATTCATGGCTGTACCTGTTAGGGTAGCTTCTTTGAAGCAGAATCTGGGTCGGAGTAAAATAGATGCACATATCTCCAAATTATTCTCTGTAGCGATTCTACCAATTTATGCCTCCATCAGCATTTGAGAGTGCTTGTTCATCAGGAGGGGTGTAATGTTAATCACTTTGTATGTTCATATGTGTTTATCAGCTATATAAATTTAATCTCTATCAATTTTTTTCTCGTGCTTTCAATTTCCAGAATGTCACCCCTTCCAATTTTTTTTTAAACAGGGTGTTGTCACAAATTTTGAAATTTTCCGAATGAGGGAAAAACAGGTACCTGTCGATGTGGTTGAAATGAAAGGCAAGTTTCATTTTAGTCATTTTGTAGTTGAAGGAATGAGCCTTATGTGCCAATTTACACATGACTTTTAATACTTGATTTTATTTATTATTATTTTTTTAAAGAGATGACCAGTAACGGGATCTTAACCCTTGACTTGGTGTTGTCAGCACCATGCTCACCCGGTGAGCTAACTGGCCATCCCTATATGGAATCTGAACCCGTGGCCTTGGTGGTAGCACTACACTCTCCCAAGTGAGCCACGGGCTGGCCCTTGACTTTTAATACTTTAATGTGAATTGTCTAAGTAGTGTGGTCAAGACTCTCAATTCTCACCATGAACAGCTGTCTCTAAATTACAAAGCATATAAGTTTTGGGTTTTCTTTTATCCTTTCCAATCTCAGTCTCTTAACAGTTGCTAATTGAAGATGACCCATCTTTTCTCCCCCATACCACTGTGACACATAGCAGAGAAGCAAGGGCTCTAGTCATTTTTCACACTTAAAAGAGTGTGCAAAGACCAGATTTTTATTCCAAATTTAGGGATTTGCAGTAAAAGAGGCATTCATCTCACAAAACAAATGCTGTCAGTCTAAGGAACCTTTTTTTTTCAAATTTCTAAAGGTGTATGCTTATTTTTCTTGGTTGTTCCTTGAATGAGTTACTTGCTATTTGCAATACTGATTTTTCTTTTTAACGGAAAAATTCATTAATTGTATTTTACAAAGCTAATTTTACTTTCACGTGCTCAAGACTAGTTGTTTTGACTCATGAAAACTGTTCAATGCTGTGTTTCTGCCTTTAGGTGGAAAACTTGGCCAGTGTTTTCAGTTTGTTTGGCTCCTTTGTTTTTGTTTTGCCGGGGAGAAAGGGAGAAAAGGAAGGGGAAAGTACACACATGAGAAAATGTGAAACATGGCCACCCTGTCAGGGCAGACAGACATGATCAATTTCTCAGGAGGTCTTAGAATTCTACTGTAGGTACAACATTGAGTGTAAGACAGGGGATGTCCTCAAGCTACACAGGACATCCATCAGCTCATCACAGTCCCACTGTGATGTGACTCTTAGGAAATGTAGATTCCTGGTCTGCTGAGGAGACGGTTTCACATAAGTCATCTCACACAAATTGAATAAGTTGCTTTTGAAACTGCTGATGTGTGCCTTTTTTTGCTGTTGCTTGCTCTGTGGTCCTTTTAATGAATTTTAAAATTTTGGAGGCATTTCTTTAGTTGAATAGTGAACATTTTAACTGATCAGGAATGTTCCTGTAACTGACCAAAAAGGGGGCTAACTCTTTTGTTGTTGTTGATTGTAGAAACCATCATAGCCTTTGCCTGGGAACCAAATGGGAGTAAGTTTGCTGTGCTGCATGGAGAGGCTCCGCGGATCTCGGTCTCCTTCTACCACGTGAAAAACAACGGGAAGATTGAGCTCATCAGTAAGTAGTCTGGCCCCATCTCAGAAGTGGATGAGCCTCCTTCCTTAACAAGTTAACATAGATAAGAGTTCTTGGTCACTGCTCAACAATGAACATTGGCCTAGGAACATTTCTGACCATGCCTGAATTCACATGTAAATAAATCCACTGTGCGTTTAAATGACACAAAAGATTGGTGATAAGGATGGCAGTGACTCACTTGAGGGAGCACTTCATATCACAAAGAGCTCAGGCTTCTGGGAGCTCCCCATTGGGCCCTTAAATTTAAGTCAGCATTTCTGAGTCTTTCATTCTCTGCCGTTGTTTTGAGTGAAGGCTCTCTTTTTCCTCTTATGGCTGTGGCTGCTGTCTCTGAGTTTGGGGGTCACTTCCCTGTGGACATGCCCCTAGCCCCTTGGTCTGGATCAGGTCCCTCGATGCGATGTCCCTCTGCAGCGGCCCTCACCTTTCTCACGGTGACTGCTTGCTGTTGCTCCTGGCCTGGGCTGGGTTCCCTGAGGACGTATGTCTCTCTTACTCTTTCATCCTTGTATCCTTAGTGCTCAGCACAGAGCTCAGCACACTGTAGAGACTCAGTAAATACTGTGGGATTGAATGAGCAGTTGCTTTTGTTGCTGTTTTCTTGGCGACTGTGAGGTAGTCTCAGGCTATGTTCCACACATTCCCAGTACTTCACACAGGACTCTGGCTGCCTGCTGCCCTGCTGGCCTTACCATGGAACTATGATTGTGGGTTTATCCCGGTACCTGAAAGGGATTTGTGTACCTTAGGAATAGCTATCAGACGACTTCTGCTGTACCTTGTCATAAAACAGGTTATACAACACAGCAAGTAGAAGTACCTTCTACCTTCTGAATCTTTTGCATACTGTGCCTTTGTTGAGGTTCGGTATTAGTGTTAGGATCATCACTTGTACTCTGTTATGCATTGGTGTCTGTTGGGGGTTGTATGCTTATGTAGTTTTTCTGTTTGTCATTGGTGTTGGTCAGGGTGATGTCTGCCTTCCCACTTCTTTTCCCCTCCCCATTCTGTTCTGTGTGTCTTCTGTGAATCTACTGCAGGTTAAGAAAAAAGATACCCCAGATTGTTAACTCTGTGTTTGAAGTGCAAGCTCACCTCTTCATTCGGTGTGCCTGAGGCCCCTTCAGGAAGTAAAGAGTTAAAGTATTTGGAAAGATAATAAATGAATCAGTTTTTATGAGCAACAATTTAAAAGGTGTTTGCATCAGTGGGAGAGTGGCTCTTGGTCTATTGGGGTCATCTCTTGACAATCTGATGGGAACTCTGGACCTCCTCTCTCTGGTTTAGAGTCACTGCAATAATGAATATTTGCTGTAAAGGGAATTCTTTGTCCAATTACCAAGTGAAATAAAAAAAAATAGTATTGTAGCTTCAAAATATGTTGTTTTTTTTCCTTTTCCATTTTTCTTTTGTGTGTGTGTGTGTGTGTGTGTGTGTGTGTGTGTGTGTGTGTGTGTGTGTGTGGATCATAACTTAAGGTATCCTTAATGATGGATTTTCTAAAATTGTTTTCAGAGATAACAAACAGGTTTGGGGTATAGAGAGTGAATTGCTAAAAGTCTGTTTTTACCAGATCTATCCATAGGGGGCAGCGTGAACCCATTGCCAGGTTCTTCAGCCTTGGCTGCACTTTGGTTGTAGAACCATTTATAGAGACTTAAAATAGATACTTTGTTTTCTTCCAGAAATGTTTGATAAACAGCAGGCAAACACCATCTTCTGGAGTCCCCAAGGACAGTTCGTTGTGTTGGCTGGTCTGAGGAGGTGGGTTTCTACGATCTGAGCCCATCATTGTGAGTAACTCTGCCTGCTGCAGCCAAGACCTGACATAGGAGCCCTGTGTTTCACTCTGGGCTATGAGTAGCCACAGTAGTGCTCTTCCTGAGAGTCTTGGTAGAGAGAATATTCTTACATTAACGGGATTATCCCAGAGTCAAGTAGATGGGACATTATTATACCATAGTGTGTCCATCATACTCCCGAGACTCAGGCCAAGACCAAGCAGCTTAGAGTAATCACTCGCACATGGTTTCTTTAAGTGAATGAGCACACTTATCTGCATGTTGTAATTGCTTTGTGGTTAAAAAGGTACCTTCCTGGCAATCTAGTTATACCCTCATGTAAAATCCCATTTCTTCTAGCAGGAAAAATATTTAATTAGACAACTGTGAGACTGTCTTCACCTGTATGGCTGGTATAACTACAAGAATTTTAAAATGTACTCTTCCCTCGCTGCCCTGCTTCGTTGCTATTCCAACAGAGTATATGGACATAGTGAAGAATGCCTAGCATTCTGCCTCCGAGTTGAAAGAGCATTCTTTTGTTTTTTATTTCCCCTGTTTCATTGTAGACACTTATTGTATTTTTGGAGGCTTACTTAGCCTCACATAGCATATTCTCTAGAAATAATAGTCATAGCAGACACATAGTACTTATCACGTCCACTGTGTGTGTCATAATTCAGTAAATCTTAACAACAGCTCTGTGAGATTGTTACTGTGATTATTTCTGTGTCAGTGATGAGGCAGCTGAGGCAGAGGATGGGTGATACCTGAGGGAACCCCCACAGCATAATTCCTCTCAAGTGGAGCTGTTAGGGGAAAATATGCATCTTTGTGCAGACTGCCTGTTGTGTTTATCTCCACAGTATGAATGGTGCCTTAGCATTTGTCGACACTTCGGACTGTACAGTCATGAACATTGCAGAGCATTATATGGCCTCCGATGTTGAGTGGGATCCTACTGGGCGTTACGTTGTCACCTCTGTGTCCTGGTGGAGCCATAAGGTATGGAGACCTTTGTAGCCTCAGCAGTAGAATGAAATTAGGCAGTGCTGGGCTTGTGCCAACACCCTGTGCCATCCCGGAATCTCAGAAAGAGCACCAAGCCTGGCATCAGTTCTCACCCACATCTCATCAGAAAAAGCTATTCTGTTTTTAACTTCTTGAAATCTTCACCTCTGTCTTTAGCAAAACATTTAGACTCGTGTCAGTGAAAGGAGAAGGAGGATTCTGAGATTGCAGAACAGGCAGAGCCATGTGTAGGGGCAGCATCTGCTGGTAGAATGGGTCTTATCCTGGGGCCCAGGGATGCTGAAAGGTGGTGAGAATGTGTTGTACACAAGCATTTTTCTGGAGTCAAGGAGCCTTAAAAAAGACCCATAACCTAAAAAGTTTTGTATTTAGAGACTTTTTTAAAAAATGCCTTTAAAAAAAAAAAAAAAGATGACTTGTAAGGGGATCTTAACCCTTCACTTGGTGTTGTCAGCACCACGCTCTCCCAAGTGAGCTAACCGGCCATACCTATATAGGGATCCGAACCTGTGGCCTTGGTGTTATCAGCACCACACTCTCCCAAGTGAGCCATGGGCCGGCCCAAAAAATGCCTTATTTTTTTTTTTTTCCTTATTGTCTTTTTTCGTGACCGGTAATGGGATCGCAACCCTCAGTGTCGTGCCCGCACTGCGACTGGCAACGGGATCGCAACCCTCAGTGTCACGCCCGCACCGCGCTCAACCAGTGAGCGGACCGGTCTCTATATGGGATCCGAACCCTCGGCGGGAGTGCTGCCGCGCTCCCAAGTGCCACACTCTACCGAGTGCGCCACCGGGCTGGCCCAAAAATGCCTTATTTTAATCGATTGAGGTATTGACAGTTGAACGAGTTCATGCATATAGAGGATATGAGATCAAATTAGGGTAATTCTGTTTAATGAGATAATGAACTTTTAGAATATCAGCTTCCGAAATATAACTGAGAACAGTGTCTTGAGTAGATATCTTTACATTCAGATCATATTTTGCCCACGGCTATGTCCAGATGTCACCACAGTGAGCCTGCCTTGGTACTTTTTAAAAAAAATGTTTTTTTTGTTTTTTTGTTTTTTGTCCTTTTTTTTGAGACCGGCCGCACCGTGCTCAGCCAGTGAGCGCTGTGAGTGCACCAGTCATCCCTATATAGGATCTGAACCCGTGGCGGGAGTGCTGCTGTGCTCCCAGCGCTGCAGTCTCCCGAGTGCGCCACGGGCTTGGCCCTAAAAAAATGTTCTTAAACTGTTGACCACTTTGTTTTAGATACAAACACTTAACTCCCAAACTGTTGGTCTGCAACAAGGGGATTATGCCAGAGTATAAATCAAGGCACTACTTCCTTCACTGAGGAAGTTTTGATATGAAAACAAAACGTCAGCTGAAATGACAGTGTATTTAGTGATGTAGTTAATTTATATTCTGACGCAAGTTTCTTGTTGCAGATCAGTAATAAGCAGGTGTATGCTTTGGTTAGCACAGTTTTTAACTACTGCACATGCTGCACTCTATAATTTATTACATAACTTTTGTAATGTCTTTTCTTTAATGACTTCCTTCTACTGAAATGTAAGCTCAATGAAGGCAGAGATCTTTGTTTTGTTCTCTAATGTATCCCAAAGTCTAGAACACTGTTTGGTAAATGGAGTAGTTGATGTTGTTGGCTCTTTTGACAGTAAAGATTCCAGTCTCTGTCTGTCTTGTGTAATTTGCGGGAGTGGAGCAGCTTCACGTGACCACTGCTCTCTTCTAGGTGGACAATGCTTACTGGCTGTGGACTTTCCAAGGACGCCTTCTGCAGAAGAATAACAAGGACCGTTTTTGCCAGCTGCTGTGGAGACCTCGGCCCCCAACACTCCTGAGCCAGGAGCAAATAAAGGTGTGACATGCCCACCAGGTTCAGGGGATGTCAAAGCAGTTGTGGCACTAAAAGAAAAATAGGGGTTTTTTTCCTGTTATTGTTAGGGTGGTGACGAATAATTAATAGAATTATTAATAAGTAATAGAAACATAACATTTACAGGTGACTCTTGGAAGAGATGCAAGAACAGTGAGAACTAAATAGAGAATAGTTTTAGCATAGTGAATGTAAAATTTCATGTGGTTTGAGGAAATTTTGCATAAACTGAAGGGGCAGGCAGATGAGAAGATGCCAGGGGCTATTAAAAGTCTTGGAGAGATTAGGAGAGATGTCCAGGATTTACATAATTATTGTGAAATAGGCTGATGGTTTTAGGTCAAGGCAAAGAGGAGAGTGTAAATCCCAGGAAAGAAACTCAGTCTTGACAAGGTGAAACTTAGGGAAGAGATAGCATGTTTGTGTGCTCCTGGAGAGCTATATTCTGTTAATCATCGAGGATGTCATTTCATATTAACAACTTTGAAGATTGCGTTTGTGGTTCTTGCTTTGAATGGTAAATCCTGAGTGACTTATCTTTTGTTTCAGCAAATTAAAAAGGATCTGAAGAAATACTCTAAGATCTTTGAACAGAAGGATCGTTTAAGCCAATCCAAAGCCTCAAAGGTTAGCCTTGTTCCCAGAACTGAGGGATATGCTAAAGATAGCCACAGTCCCCTGTTGTGGGAAAGAAGGGCCAGCATGAGAGTTGTGGGAGGGAGAGGATGTTGTGTGTCTGCTTAGAGAAAAGATAGAAAGAGCAGCTTCTCTCCTAGAGACACTGCTTTGTTCTGCTGAACCCTGGGGTGGATCAGCAGCCAGGAGCTGTGGGCTGGTGCAGGCACTTAGAACTCATGGCCTGACGGTAGCCCTATTGGTGGCTGGGGTTTTAGTTACAGAGGTGGGAGCGTGGCAGCGTCAGAGGAAGAAAAATGAGATCTAACATATCTCGCCATTCCTGGCCTGGGAGTCTCTTTAAATAAAGTAGTTTTGACATCATTTTATTAGGTGCACGTTACTTGTGGCAAACTGTTTTCACTTTGCTTAAGCAAAAAACATGATAATGGTGAGTTAAGTATTAGTTCTGCACCTTTCCGCCCTAACTTTATACTTAGGAATTGGTGGAAAGGAGGCGAACCATGATGGAAGATTTCCGAAAATACCGAAAAATGGCCCAAGAACTCTACATGGAGCAGAAAAACGAGCGTCTAGAATTGAGAGGAGGTAACTTAAAGACTCTTAAATTATCTAAAAATTGAGAGGATTCCCCGGGCAGAGCACATAGTTGTTCCAGCTACCCATGAGCAGAGCACAGGTCCTGCTGTTTCTCACTGGACCCTCGGCTGGCTCCCATGGTCTGAGCTCTGGAGGCTGAACCTAAAGGAGTCAGCACAGTCATCATGAAGCATCTACACCCCATCGGTTACTCTTGCTCTTCCTCATCTCAGGGGTGGACACTGACGAGCTGGACAGCAACGTAGATGACTGGGAGGAGGAGACCATTGAGTTCTTTGTCACTGAAGAAATTATTCCTCTTGGAAATCAGGAGTGATCTGAGAGCACTGTGGTAAGACTCCCCTCCAGACAGAGAACTTTTTTTTTTTTAAAGATGACCGGTAAGGGGATCTCAACCCTTGGGTTGGTGTTGTCAGCACCACACTCAGCCAGTGAGCAAACCGGCCATCCCTATATAGGATCTGAACCTGGGGCCTTGGTATTATCAGCACCGCACTCTACTGAGTGAGCCACAGGCCGGCCCCTCAGACAGAGAACTTCTGATTAATGTTCCGTTGGGTATTTTTTGTGTGTGTGCTTCTGCTATTATCCCTGTAAATTAGAAAATACCTTGCTTAAATGTGAGTGAAAATGCTATGTTAGGTACCTAAGGTTAGTAAAATCTTAGGTGCGAGGTGTGAGGAGTTAGTGCAGACCCAGCCTTAGGGGCATGAGCAGAGCTTGTCCTCTGGACCTTTAGGATGTTGGGTCACGAACGGGCCTCGGCCAGGGCAGACCCTGGTGCTTGATGTGCAGTGTCAGGAGTTGTGGGGAGACCAGCACCTGATTGTCTCCAGATGTCTTACCTAGTGGACAGCCTTGGTGTGTCCACCAGAAAGGAAGGTTGGGCACGAGCAGCTGTGACTCCCAGTGGTGGTCAGTCACTGACAAGAGCCTTCAGATAGCACAAGAGCTTATGAGTATTCTGGGGCTTCTTCAGTAACAGAGGCAGGGTTCCAAGATCCCACACCTCACAGGTGTGTGACTTTGGGTGCTTGGATGTCACTTGATTGCTGTCCCCGTGGCAGGGAGTTGCTCACGGCCCACTTGGGCGAGTTGTGGTAATTCGCGGGCTTGTTTCCTGTGGTCCAGGCCTCTGCTCAGCTCGCTGACTGCATGTTGAAGTGCTCCGACGTCAGCCTAAAGCAGATCTTCAGGGCCCTTCCAGCCCTTGAGATATTATTGTTTGGGGTTGCCATGCCTTCTCATTCAGGGGATGCAGCCAGTGGTAATTGTTCCTACTGTGGTTCACTCACCAAGAGGCAGGACAGGAGTAAATGGTGTTTCCTGTGTTGCAGCATCACCGCGTCTTGTGCTGGAGCTGAGGTCATCCTTTTGCAGAAAGCCTACACAACTCCTGAATTTTTACCTGTGCTTTCTCTTGGTCGACTGTGAATGCACCTGGGATTCTTCCATCTCGACACATTTTTGTGCCTTTAAGCCCCTGGTGTCCACAGTGGGGAGGTTTTAAGGCACTGCTTTCAATCTCTTCTTGTTTGGGGTTTTTTTTAATCACTACCACCAGTGTTTGCTATCAGACTCTTTCCTGCAGTGCTGCTGGCAGGCCCCTTTGTACTCTTGCTGTCACTGGCATTTCTGAGGTGTCCATCCAGAGCTGAGCCATGTTTCCCTTTAAGGACTGTCACTGTCCCGAGTGTGAGCCAGTATCGGGTGTGTGCTGGAGACCAGCAGGGAAGCAGCACAGCGCTTGCGTACCAGCGTGCTCAGAAGGCACAGCAGCACCTCATACCCCCGCCATTCAGGTTGTGGCAGGTTCTCTCAACAGGTTGAACACGGAAATAAAAGCAAACCTGTACGAAAAAGCTGTCTTTCTCTTCTCTTTGAATGTGAATAGTGGCCTTGAATTTGGTGCCCCTACTCCCTCCCCAGTGGTAAGGGTCTGCTTGCGAAGCCAGTCCTCCACCATGCCCTCACGTGCATTCTGTGCACACTTGGCTCAGAGGGGGACAGGGAGACCAGCCTCCTGCTCTGCTGTATTCCCAGCTGTCAGTCTAAATACAGTTTCTAACGTTTTTTTGTTTTCTGTGGAACAATGTCATTTCACATACTGAGAATGCTTTAGACTTTTCCTTGGAGTTAGACCAGTAGGAAAATTTGTATTGAGAGTTGTCAGCGTAGCCACTATTATGTGGTCCCTTTGAGTATTTAACTTTTATTTTTCCTCTTGAGAAGGAAGTGAACAAATCCATGTAATTTCAGTCCATTATTATTTGCAGTGTCTTGCTATACCCATCAGTGCCTTGTGAAATTGCAGTTTCTCCCACCTCTTTTTATCTCATGGAACCTGAAGCTGACTTTAAAAGCAGTGAAGCACAGAACTGGCACACTCAGAATTCACAGCCAAGGGGCATTTACAAACCTGAAACAGTGTTTTGAGATTGGAGGATAAAGTGTAATTTTAGGGCAGAGGACAAAGGCAAAATGCCTGCCCTTGAGAAGCTAGGTCAGCTACTGCTGGGAGTAATTGTTGATCTTTGCAATTCCATGTCGACCCTCCCTGGAGTTTTGTGGCTGCCTGCCACAGGATCGGCCAGGAGAAGGCCTCCGGGTTGACTGAGCTTCCCCAGGTATAAGGAAGGCACTTCGTGCTTTTCCTTTCTCATGAGCCTTAAATTTCTCTTATCCATCCGTGGTTTCTCTAAAATTATATAATTTGTTGCAGTCCTACCATTCAGCTCATCCTGTGCCCCTTTAGTGTACATTTTTATGGTAATTGTTTGCTCTCATGTTGTTGAAACTAGTATACCAAGACACAGTTTTTCTAATTTTATGGCAGTAAAAAGGAAAAGGCACATAGTTCTATCACATTAACAGATTTTTTAACAGCTTTCAAAAAATTAACTTTTCACTGTTTTAAACATACTAATTGTAATTGTTTTACATAATTTGTAAATAAAAGCATTTCTGAAACACTTGTGCTTGCTTTAACTCTCTTCTGCTGGAGAAGTGGATTTCCCAGGGCCAGCCTTTTCTAGAGGAAGTTCCCAAGTACTGGTGTCGCCAGTGGTCACAGGCTCAGGGGGCGCTGAGGTGGGCCTGGGGCCCTCGGTTCTGGCCTTGTCTTGGTCTGGTCCCCAGATGACTGCTGGAGCCTGTACATGAGGGCTCTCCAAGTTTCTTGTGGGTCAGAGGTTGGAGCCTTGTTCTCCTTTTATTGAAGAGGGGCATAGATGTTAGAGGGTTGTTCTCCCCCTCATTCACATGGTAAGGGTTTCCTGGGGCTCAGCATTGACCTGGACACTGAGGAAGAGAAGGTGAATGTGGCCAAACACATGCTCAACACAGTTAAACTGCTGAGTGGTTGGCTTAAGAAAAAGTTCTGGTGGCTGGCTGGTGAGCTCAGCTGAGCACAGCCTAAGGTTGAGGGTTTGGTTCCCTGTACTGGCCAGCCACCAAAAAACAATAATAAAGCAAAGGTGGAAGAAAAAGTTGCAATCGGGACCAGTCTTGGACAGCAGACATAACCTCCGGCACAGTCTCTGCCCTGATGTGAATGGGCCTCTGCAGTCCTTTTAGCTCTGTAGGTAAATTTATTAAGCTGGACTTTTCATATTTGTACTTCATGGATCCAGTCTTTGTATGAGTTCTATCAAAATGCAGGAGCAATTTCTGGTTTTTGACACCAACCCTGGCTCTTAGCAGGGATGGTGCTGTCATCTTGCACTCTGGCTAGCTGCAGGTGCAGTCTGCCTTGGTTGTGTGAGTTCACAGTGCAGTGACTTCCCCAGGGACTACAGTGGAAAAGTTGAGCACAGCTTTTAAGCAGTAAATATGCCTGATCACTGTCAGAATCAGGCCTTGGGTGCAGTGCAGACTGAGTGTGGGAAAAGGAATTGGAAGTCATATCTTAACATCAGAAATGAAGGTCGTTTCAAGGTTGTTTTAGAAAGTCATCTTTGGAAAAAGCATTTGCAGCTGAGATTATTTCATTAAGCTTTAGTTAGCTGTTGGTGTTTGTCCCCTATGGTGGAAAAGCTCAAAAGGCACAAAGACCTCTGTGTGAGGGGGCCCCTGAGGTGGTTTTCAGGCCATTCCTGTGGCAGCCCCCTGTCCTGGGCTCAAGGTGGGAGAGGGGGAATCCCACCCTGCAAAGAACAGTTGTAACCCTTGTCTGCCATCCTGGATGGGTCTCAGGCAGGCTCACCTGTAGATCAGATGAGGCATGTTGAAGCCCTGGGGTTGCCATGGCATTATGTGAGTGCAGGGACAGAGAGGCTGCACAGGTGCGTGGCACTGTCTTTATGTTCAGATGCCATCAGGAGGGCTGCCCTGCTGCCAGGGGCCCACCCAAACCATGTGAGCTGTCCTGTCCGAGGAGAGCAGAGAGTGTTAGGGGCGAGGCCAGCTTTGTAAACTGTGGTGCTAGTCCCAGTCCCCTGGGACCCAGCTGATGTCACCTGGGCAGGGCAGGGCTGAGCGCAGACAGGTCTGCCTCCACCAGAACAGTAGGGAAAGCATCCCCCCGCTGGCCGCATGCCCTCCCACCAGGCCACCGGCCCCTCCCCAGCCCGGGGTAGCCCTGCCTTGAGAGAGATGGAGCCCAAGAACCAGCAGTTCATGGTGAGCGACCCCTGCAAGTCCCCTGCTGGTCTCAGCTGCGCATGCCAAGTGAGGCTGCCTCCTCCTGTCCTCACCTCCCCTGACCCTCCTCCCCAGCACCTCCTGGGCTTGGGTCAGGTCTCTGGTAATCAGCCCAGGTCCCAGAGCCCAGGGCCCTGCTTCTGCTGTCTACTCTCCCTTCTGGGCCTAGCTAACCCCCTCTACACCACCCCCTTTTCACCCCGAGCCTCTAGACATCCATTTCACCCCTGCCCTCAGGAGCTCAGGGCCTGGACTGAGACCCCCAGATGGGGTGGGTGGGCACTGTGCTCCTCAGCCCCTACCCTGGGCCTGACCCAGGACCCCCTGTTGGGCAACTTGAAACAGCCCATCTGACAGTTGAGTGAGCCAAGGCCAGGGACTTGCTTCAGACCTGTAGGCTGGTTATAGAGAAACCCAGTCATGATTGCCTCTCAGGGAGAACCATAGCTACTGTTTCTACCAGAGGAACTTTCCCCATTTTACAGAGGAGGAAACAGGTCCAGAGGGGGCCACAGCTCATATGGAGCTCATATGTGTCAAGGTGGATTTGAGGCCTAGGGTCAGTCTTATCCCAGAGGCTTCTGGTGGGCCTCCCTTAGAAAAGGAGACGGGGCAGGCAAAGCCCATGGCTCTCCACTTGGGAAACAGTGCTCATCAGGGCTTTCAGTGCTTGTGAAAGTGCTCACTGGCATGAAGGGCCGGGCTTGGTTTGCATCCCTTCTGGTTGAGGGTAAAACAGGCAAGGTAGTAAGTTCCCTCAGCAGCTGTGTGACCTTGGCCAAGTTACTTCACCTCTCTGTGTCTCGGTCTCCCCATTTGTCCAGCGAGGGTTACGGTAACCATGTTCTCCTCTCCAAGGGTTATTGCAAGGCGTGAACAACCTCCTGTAAGTATTAAGAAGAGGTTAGAACAGAGCTTGAGGGGATGCTTCGGCTTAGCTGTTGCCTTCACTTCTTCACTAAGAGCCTGAAGATCACAGGAGGAGGAAGGAAGAACAAGAAGGAGGGAGAGGAGGGCAAGAGGGAGAGTTATAGGCTGGAGGTCTTGGTGTTCGAGGAAGAAGAGGGAGTAATCTCTAAGGGGCCCCTCAAAACACAGCTGCTCAAGTGTCCTGCCCACAGGTGGCGCTTCGAATCCGCCCGCTCAATGATGCAGAACTGGAGGACGGAGGCACCATCATCGCTCACAAAGTGGGGGAACAGGTAAGGCTGGGGAACACAGAGGACATGTGCAAGGTGGTCACAAAGCTCACCCTACTGTGCACGCTTTATATTACTCTTCCATCCATCACTCAACAAATGTTAACGTGGAGTGCTTACAATGGCCAGGTTCCAGTTCAGGGGCCCACCCCCTCCAAGCTAACTTTTTGGGGTGGGGGGCAGACAATTAACAAATAAATGTATAATGTCAGGGGGCGTCCAGTGCCACGAAGAAAAAGGAAGTGTCAAGGGGATCAGGCAAAGCCTCTCTGATGACCTTGAGGAGATGGAGGTGTCAGGCTGAGGGGAGAGCTGGCACCCCAGAGCAGGAGTGGGCTCAGGCTGGTCCGTGTGAGAGGGGAGGGCAGTTCTAACAGGTCTGGGGCTACATCTGTGTTGTTGAAAAGGGCCCCTTGTGATTCTGTGGGGGTAGGGAACTGGCACCTGCCACATTGCCCAGGATTTCTGCTTCTTAGAAACAGGCTCAGAGGCTGAGCTATCGACACAGTTTAGAAATGTTTGTGCCCTTGGTTGTAACTTATGAGAATAAGTGCCAAATTTGGGGCAAAACAAAATTTTGTCAAGTGGATCAGATTTTCCCATTCACCATTAGAAAGGCAGCTTCTGTGAGAAATGAAACGCGGCTCGTGGAGTATGTTTGCATCAAGGCAAAAGGCCCCAGATGCTGGTCAACAGCTGCCCACCCCAGTGGGGCACCCAGTCCTGAGCAGCAAGTCAGGAGGTTGGGGGAGTGACGCCTGCAGGAAGGTGAAATGAATGTCTCCGGTATGTGAGCACCTCTGGGGGAGTGGACAGTTGTCAAAGAGGGGGTGAATTAGTGTTGAATTCAGAAAAAAATCTAAGCAAATAAAAGGAGACAGTTGTTAAACTGAGGGGAAACAAAAAGTTTTTCAGGAAAGGAGAGTTTATGTCGACTTAATATGCAAACATGAATGTTGATCTAACTAAATTCACGATATAACTGCACTGGGAGGTGGGGCCGAGGGAGCTAAATTCTCATGGTGCACAGAGGCGAGTCAGGAACTGACAAGGAGCTGATGAAGTCAGTTGCAGAAGACTGATTAAGGCGCCATGTTACTCAGACCAAAAAACCCAGAGAATCAGCTATAAGAGTTGGGGCAAGGAGGGGTGGGCAGGGATTGTGGCTTCCTACGGGCTTTGTGGAAGTCTTGCTTTGCTCTGTACCAAAGACACAGCTCACTTTTTAAAAAAATTTGGGTGAAATTTGCATAATGTAAAATTCACCAAAGTGAACAAACAATTCAGTGGCATTTAGTCCATCCGCAATGTTGTGCAACCACCACCTCTATCTGCAAAACATTTTAATCACCCCTAAAGGAGACGCCTCACCCGTTTGCAGTCACTCCCCATCTCCCCTTCTCCAACCCCTGCAACCACCAGTCTGCTTTCCGTTTATAGATTCTGGACATATCATATGAATGGAATCATACAATATGCAGCCTTTTGCGTGTGGCTTTTTTCACCTGGCATGTTTTTGAAGTTCATCCATGTTGTAGTATATTCACATTTTCTTTTAACTTTTTATTTTGAAGTAAGTTCAGACTAATGGTAAGGTGACAAGAATCTTACAAAGAGCTCCAGTATTCCCTGCATCCAGATTTCCCAAATGTTAACTTTTTACCACATTTGCTTCTCCTCTCTCCCCATGTGTACAAACTCCTTTTTTCTGGACCATTTGGAGTAAGTTGGGGCACAATGCCCCTCCACACCCAAACATTTCAGTGTGTGTTTCTTAAAAACAAGAACATTCTCGTATATGACCTCAGTACCGTGATCGAAATCAGGAAGTTCATGTTGATTTCATGTTATCTAATCTACAGATGCATTCAAATTTTGCTGATTTTTCTCAATAATGTTCTATATAACAAAAGGAAAACATTTTTCTGGTCCAAGACCCAATGTGGTTGTTGTATTTTGAACACCCAGGGCTTAGCCCTGTGCATGATCTCATTTACTCCTCACCTTAGCGGTGGGTTCTATCACCTCCATTTTACAGATGAGAAAACTGAGGCCCAGAGAGTTGGGGTAGCTTGCCCATGGCCTCCTAGCTAGTGAGTGGTGGAGCCAGGATGGGACACTAGGCTTCAGGGCTCCAGAGCTTGCTTTCTTAAACACTAGCATCCCACCCAACCCTCCCTGTGCTGGGCTGGGAGCCCCTTGGCTGGGGACATATCCGATTACTCCTGTGGTACAGCCATGGCTCACAGCAGGCACACGCAGTCAGGGTGTGGGAGAAGGGAGCTGCCCACCGTGTCATCCTATCCTTTGATCATCTCCTTCCTTGGAAGGAGAAGAAAAGCATAAAGGAAAAGAAAGTTAGCTTATGTTATGGAAAAAGTGCTGGCCAGAAGCCAGGAGCAGCCCAGGGACCTGGTCCAGCCCCGTCACTAACTCCCCAAGAACCTCTGGCAGGCCCTGGTCTCCTGGGATCTCAGTTTCCAAAGAAGAGAACTGAGGGAGGGTCGGGTGGGGTGGCCAGATGGCGAGGCTCTTGATCCTGTCCAGTTGTGACCCGCTAAGACTCTGTGGTTCCTCTCAGGTGCCTCAGCTCCTAGATCCCCCATCAGCCAGGGAACCAGAGTAACCACCAGAGTAACTTGGTTTCTAATTGCCCCTGTCCCCACCCCCTCAATTCCCTGGGAAAGGATCCTCTGAACCTCTCTGTCCCCAGAGACTCTAATGTACTTTGCTTCATAATTATGTATTTATATGAGATCAGAGATGGCCCTGGGGCAGCCTAGGCTTTCAGAGAAACAAAGAGCAGGTTGCAGAGCTTGGCTGGGTCCTTTTGTTCTCCCCTTTCCTGTGGGTGGCTTATCCCCCTGAGCAAGACCCAGGTGAGGTCAAGGCATGGAAAGACTCAGGATCTCATGGAAAGAGCACTGCAGCACAGTGGCCAGTGCAGTACCCTACAGTTTACAGAGCCCCTTCCCATCCCTGGTCCCATTAATCCATCAAAGGGCTTGTCACTGTGGGGCACTGGGACCAGGTGGGTTGTGTTCTGCTGGGGATGTGGTCACCGAGCTGGTAGCACCCAGGCATGGCTGCTGGATGGGAGTGCTGGGCTGCTGGACTGAGTGGTGAGTGTGTAGGAGCTGGGCTGCAGAGCCCCGCAGGCCTCAGAATACAAGTGGAGAGGGTGCCAGGGATTGGGGTGAGTGCACAGAGGCCTGCAGCCCTTCTTGGACCTGGACCAAGGCCTTGGATGTGGTCAAGGGCAGGAGCCAGGCCTGGCATCTTCCTGAGGTGCAGATCCTAGCTGGTTCTGACTGGCCCCTCCCCCACCCCTCCCTCTCACTGCTCCAAGACGGTGGTGCTCGTGGACCCTGGTGAGGACCCTGAGGACACGCTGCGCACACACCGGCCCCGCAAACGAACCTTCATCTTTGACACTGTTTTCGACCAGCACGCATCCCAGGTGCCCACCCACCCCTCCTACTCCCTTGGTCCCCTGTTAGGCTGGATCCCTCCCTGGGAGGACTTGGTGGCCAAACCCTCTTGGCCCTGTCTTTTCACATGGGAAGGAAAGGGATCCAGGCAGAGGCTTTATCGTACCCATTTCACAGGGGAAGGGACTGAGGCTCCCACAGGTCACACAGTGAGGTCAAGATCTGGGCATTTGGACACAGTGTTTGGTCACACTCCCTCCTAGTCCTTCACGTCACCACCCCCTGCTAAGGGCAAAATGCTGACCAATGTATAACCTGACCTTACCTGGGAGTGGGACCTTGTTACCCCATGTCACAGAGGGGAGCCAGGACTCAGGGAGGAGTGATAGAGTGAAGGACACTCACTCCTGAGCTGGGCAGGTGGGACTTGAACCCAGGCCTCTCGCAGAGGGAATATCACATCCACAGGGTGGTGGAGACTGGGGGCTGTTTGGCCAGTGAAGGATGCAGGTTTCCATGCTCACACTAGCCCCTGCACCCAAGTGATTTCCCTTCCCACATTGAAGTGACAGATCGGGGATTCCCCTTGCATGCTGCATCAAACCTTCAATTTCTAAGAAGCCCCAGGCCCAGGTGTGCAAAGTTCTCTCCCAGTTATCTGTTGCTGTAGAACAAATCACTCCAAAGCTGGGTGGCCTAAAACTACCATTTATTGTCATCTTCATTGGTCCTGTGGATTGACCAGGATCTGCTGGGCGCACTCTCACATGGCTGCAGTCAGACATGCAGGGCGTTAGGCAGACAGGGGTATAGTCATCCGAAAGCTCTACTGGGACAAGTGTCCATTATGTCACTCACGTGGCTCTAAGTGGATTCTGTCATTGGCTTGGGGTTCTGCCGTGCTGCCAACTGGAGCACCTGTGTGTATCTTCATGTGGCTTGGGCTTCCTCACAGCATGGTGGCCTCAGAGCTACAAGAGGGCCCAGCAGAAGCTGCCAGATCTCTTAAAGGTCTGGCCCACAACTGGCATGGCCTCGCTTACTGGTCAAGCCAGTCATTAAGTCTGGCTCGATTCAAGGGGTGGGAAATTAAACTCAACATCTCAGTGGAGAAGTGGCAAAGAATTTGTGGCTAGCTAGCCTTAACCTACCACACTTTCTTTTCCTTCATTACACCCTAGTCCCCTCTTATCTGCCCACTGGACCCCAGCAGCTAAATTAACACGGACAGCATCTCAGGAAGGATGCTGAGCACACTAAAAGAGCCTGCTCAGAACACATCAGCCATGTGTTGCCATTAGGAATCTCCCCCTTGATTCAGGACACAGTCATGATTAGAAAGCAGAATGGATGTCCTCAGCAATGGCAGCTCCAACTACTATCTGGGCAGCCAGGCTTCTTTTACTCTCAAGGTCTTCGTAGAATTGAAAGTAGAAGGGATTTTATCATTAACATTCATTGAGCAGCTACTATATGCCAAGAGCTTTGCTCAAGGGCTTTACATACATCATTTTACAACACTTATAGCAACCCTATAAAATACACAGTAATAGTATCCTCATTTTACAGATGAGGAAACTGAGGCTTAAGGAGGTCAACAACCTGCCTGAGGTCACGCAGCTAGAGAGTTGCTGAACCAGGATTCAGTCCCAGACTATATAAGTCCAAAGCCAGAGGAAAGCAGTTTCAGCTTTGGAGTCTGTCCAACCTGGGCCTGGAGGCTGCCTCTACCTTCTGCAAGTTGGGTAACCAGTCAGGGCTGTGGGGACAGTTAGATGAGGTGAAGAGCAGGGTAGGTGCTCAAGAAATGCACAGGAAGTGGTGACCACTGTTTCTGTCAAGTCCAGCCAAACCTACACACCCTTATACACCAGCCCTGGAGGGGTCCTTTCTTGAATACCCCTTTGGATGGGGAGCTCATTACCCCCACACACCTATTGCTAAGTATTGATACCTTATGTCAACTTCTGCCTGCTTGAAATTTTTACTCCCTGGCCCCAGTTTTGTCCCATTAAGAGGGGTCATGATGCTCTTCACAGACTTCCAAATGCCATGGCTGTCTTCCAGTCCCTTGCATCTTTTCGATTTCTCTCAATTTTTGCAGAAGCCCTGAAACAGACTTACATGTGTTTAGTCCCTAACTCATGGTGGGAGCTCTCACATATGTTCTCAGTTAATCCTCCTTTGAAACCACCAAGTTAGATCAGCATCGTCTCCCACCATGATGCTCGTCACAGCTGAGACAGCGTGCCCAAGTTGCACAGCTACAGGACTGGGATTGGAACCCAGGCACATGTAATGCCCAAGCTCTTTCTAGACTTTCCTCTCCTGATATATGTCCCAGTATATGTCCAGAGAGATAGAACATTTACAGACACCATACACCTATTCCTTCCAAACAGCTCTGACTCTGGTTGGGCTGTCATTTGACTGTCCTTCTGTTTCTCCTCAGGAAGATGTGTACTGTGCCACCATCCAGCATCTAGTGGAAGGCATCATTTCTGGATACAATGCAACAGTGTTTGCCTATGGCCCCTCAGGTACTGTCAAGGGCAGTGTCTCTTGGAGTGAATGGGGTTGGTGGCAGCAGAGCTCTTCTAAACAGCACGAAGCACCTACTACATGCTGAGCTCTCTGCATCCATCTGCTCCTTCCATCCTTTCAGCAGCCCTGAAAGGCAGGTAGAGTGAGATGAGAAAACTGAGCCTCGGAGATAAAGTGACTTCCCCAAGGTCATGCAGTTGTTGGGAGTGATTCTGGAATTCAGCCCAAGCCTACACTTTGCTACCCAAGAGAACCCACGGATTTCTTGTCTGCAATTACAAGTTGGGCTTGACAAGTGTTTGCAAAGCTAAGCTACCTCTCTCACCCCTGAAAACTAGAATCACAGAGGGTCAGAGCCAGATGGGCTCAGCCTTAACCCTATCTCTGTGCAGATAGGGAGCTGTGCAGATGGGGAAATGGAGACCCTGAGAAGTGCCTTGCCCAAAGCCACAGCTCATTTATCTCTCATTTATTCATTCAACAAATGTTAACAAGCACCTACTATGTACCAGGCTTTAGTGAATAAAATAGCAATCTGGTCCTTGCCTATGTGGGGCAAACAGGTAAGGAGGAAGTCAAGCATCCCCTGCAGAAAGGCACCTTCTAAAAAGTGTAATGTGTTAATTCCCTTGTTATAAGAACACAAATATCCAGAAAGAGAGTTTGGAAAAAAGGACAGAATCTCTCATAGTTTTTCCACTCTAGTACTATCTACACTTCTGCTTATTATCTTTCCAGTATTCCTCCCTGCATTCAGGTTTTCTTCCACAGAGTAGTCATCAGATTGTTCACACAGTTGGTTGGTTTGTTCCCAAAATGGAAAATGAACATGTTAGAGTGTCCACATTCCATTTGCACAATAAAGGCAGCTGGTGCGAACAGATGCCACGCGGGTTTACCTGTTTCTTAATGGCCAGTGCATCTGGGCAAAGTATCTCAGCTCAACTCAGGAGTCCCCCGCCCCCTACCCTCTCACAGGCACAGGGAAGACCCACACCATGCTAGGCAAGGATGCGGAGCCTGGTGTCTACCTGCAGACCCTCACGGACCTCTTCCAGGTCATTGAACAGACCCGTGACAACATGGACTACAGCGTGTCCATGTCTTACTTTGAGGTGAGCCTGCCCACCTGCCTCAGTTGCTTTGGCTTCAAAATGGGCGTGGTCACACCAGACCAAATGTAACTGTGCCTGGGAAGTCCTCAGCACTGTGTGTTACCCCAAAATGCTGTTTGGCCTCGTGGAAAGCCCCAGCCTTCAGGGTCGAGATTTCTCTGCAGTCTCAAAGCCCCAGTGGTATGTAAGTCCTTGTACTTCTTTCACACTGTGTAGCCAACCTTTCTGTTGCACCTCAGATTTATAATGAAGTGATCCGGGATCTCTTGAATCCATCCTCGGAGTTTCTGGAACTAAGGGAAGATTCTAGGGGCAGCATCCAGATTGCAGGCATCATGGAGGTCTCCACCTCAAATGCCCAAGAGGTAAGGGTCACAGGGACTCATGGTGGAAACATGGCTCAGCTACGGCAGCCACATACACCAGAGCTCACAAAGTCCTTCTCACTTAAGCTCACTGAGCAGAGACCAGCACACAGCTCCAAAGTTGTTTCCAAGCATCTGGACTTGATGTAAGGGAATGGCAAACATCTGCACCATGTCTCTCCCTCCTAGCCAGCACTCAGGGCAGACATCACCAATCGATCACACACTGTTCCCTTTCTCCAGTCACAGGTTCAGATCGTTTTCAACACAGCTCTCCAGGCAGATGCAATCCAATCAGAGTCGGCTCAGGTCTGAAATCTGGCCATCCCTGATCCTAATAATTGTTTCCTTAATGAGGGCAAATTGTAAACATTTCTACAGCCCTCTGTCTTTTCTGTCTACCTCCAATGTCTCTCTATGGCAGCCCACATTCCACAGTGCCCCCAGGCTGGGCTTCCTGAGACAGATATGGCTGGGCCTCCTACCTTCTGGCAAAACCTTCAGTGGTTTCTTATTTCCTCCGGAACCAGTACAGATCTCTCAACTTCAGCCCTTATTGACCATGTGCTCCAGACAGGCTGGCCCAGGCACCAGAATCCACCTGCCCTTACCATTGTTTCTTCTGAGCTTGGGGTGAAGGGCAGCCTTCTTGTGTATTGTGTAATAACAATGACTGTATCGGTCTTCTCTCCATACATACTCTGCAGTCCTAGCATGAGTATGGCACACGGTAGGCGCTCAGAAGAGGCTTGTCATCTTGATTTTGCTGTTTGCATGGCAAATGGGTTTCAGCCCACCTGCCAACTCCAGCGAATTGATATAACTGCCTAGAGTTCTATAGTAAAAAGGGTTCTGGGACCACTCTCGGCTCTGGGGAGAAGAGGTGGGTTCTCCATTGGTGATGTCTGCCATGGGTGGAGGAAGGAGAGGGGACAGTACAAGTGTCAGGAATCTGCCATTCCTGCTCAATTACTTGACTCAATCACTTCATACCACAAACCAGAAATGGCTTCCACCTGATGAGGTTCTGCCATGAGCATCCCATCCCCTCTTCTCTTGCCGAGGTGTTTCTGGAGGGTGCATGTGACCATTCCAGCAGCCCTCGACCACCTGTCTGCTTGCACTCTGTCCTCAGATCATGCAGCTCCTCACCAAGGGCAACCGGCAGCGCACACAGGAGCCCACGGCCACCAACAAGACGTCGTCCCGCTCCCACGCTGTGCTGCAGGTCACCGTGCATCAGCAGAGCCGCAGCACAGACCTGGTGGAGGAAGTGCGCGTTGGGAGGCTCTTCATGGTGGACCTGGCAGGCTCTGAGCGGGCGTCCCAGGTTCTGGTCCCTCTGGCATTCCCACCACCCCTTTTCAAACTTCACTATAATTACTCACTGTGTGTCTGTCACCCCACAGATCTGTGGACAGGACCTTGTCTGCCCTGGTCCAACCCTGTCTTCAGCACCTAGAACAGCGCCTGGCCTAGAAGAGGGGCTCACTAAATGTTTGTCGAGTGAATGAATTCTCAACAAGAGTTGCGTGAGGGAGCCATTGAGCCAGTGTTTATGAAGGGCTCCCTGCATTGCAGGGCTCTTCCTGGGCTCTAGAGACACAAAGGTGAACGACACCCAGACTCGCCCTCGGGGCACTCAGAGCCTCCCGGGGAGACGGGCATGTGAGCAGATAATTGCAGCACAGGGAGGCATGTCCTTTGGGATTCAGGTTCTGCACAGAGGCTGTGGGAGCACAGAGGAGGGTGGGGTGGTGGTTGTGGTTTCTCAGGGCTGAGTCTGAGAGGGTCATTAGGAGTTTAGTGGGTATTGCTTCTTGGTCTTTTGGTTAAGGTCAAGTGTAGGAGTTTGGTGGAGCACAAGGAAGAGCATTTCAGGTGGAGGGAACAGCGTGTGCAGAGTGTGGGTGTTGGGAGGGTGGTACACAGTTCACTATTGCATGACATGGTTGCAGCCCCGCTCACAGTCGCTGCTGAGGAAACCAGCCCCGGTGCTCCTCCCCCAAACTCTTGGCTCATTTTTCCTTCACTGTACCTGTCACTGGGAATAGGCACTGTGCTCTCTGCCTGTTACCCCAGTGGCCTGAGCACTCCCTGAGGGCAGGAACCCAGCCCAGGACCAGGGACAGAGAAGGAGCTTGATGGAGGTGGTGGCAGAATAACAATCATACTATCAACAAGTGATATTTTCCACATCCCTCTAAGGAACCAGGCACTAGTCATTCATAGTCCAGGTAACCATCCCTGAGAAAGATCAAGGTGGGCAGCGTCATGCCTGTTTTACAGTGTGGAGGCTGTGACTTGGGGGGTGATGTGGCTTGCTGTGCCCAAAGTATCACACGGTGGAGCCGAACTCTGAACCTGGGGAAATCTGACCCCAGACCGTGCCTTCCACTGCTGTGATATTTGCTCTCCAGTGTGCTCTGTATCTTTGGGGTTTGAGTGATCATTGAGTAGCTTCACTTGTTTACCCCCTCGCTGCTCTGTGCCTGGCCCTGCCCTTGGTGCTTGGGATGCTGACAGAAGCAGGGCCTGGTCACCTGGCTCAGCATCAGACTGTCCTAAAATATAGTGCATTAATAGAAAACTTGAGGTACAGTGAGGCTAACAGATCAGGGATCGACTGCCATTGAGAAGATAGTTTGTTACTCACAGCCATGCAGGGCCACACGGGATGCACCAGGGTTGGTCAGAAGGCAGGAGGATCAAGGGGAAAATGTGGCCGAGAGCCTTTATTCTGGTTTCTGCAGGAAGGAGCAGGTGAGGCAGGGTAAGTAACTAGGCTTAAGAAGGGAGAGTTGAATAATTTTAGTGAACTTTGGGGCTTGGGGTTGTCCCTAGGTATCTGGTTCCCGTCACTAGGGTGATTAGAGCAAGTCAATGGTGGCCAGAGTGTGAGAGCCCCTTAGAGGAGGTGGTGGGGTGTGGCATCTGATTGGTTGGTTTGTAGATGAAATGTGTGCTCATAGGTGAGCCATTTACTATCTCTAGGAATTGGCTAACCCCAGGAGAGAGAGTCCCTCCAGGGTCAGCAAGGACCCAAATGTCAGTGCACTAGATACAGAAAATAAAAGACATGGTGTTAGTATACAGACAGATGAGGGTGCAGACAGTTTCATGGAGATGCAGCCCAGTGTGACATAGGAAACAGCACTGGGCCCTGAGCAGGAGCTAGGACATGGCTGTCCAGCCAGCTGGTCTTGGCCATGTCTTCAGGAGGGCTTGGCTCAGGGAGAGGGTACCAGTGGGGGATCCAGGCCTTGGTCCTTGCTCTCTTTCTGCTCCAACTTGCTGTGTGCCTTTGAGCAGGCCACTGCCCCTCTCTGGGCCTTGGTGTTTTAGCTGCAATACTCAGAACTAGGTGGGCTGTCTCTAAGGTCTGCTTGGCTCTCACAGACTGTCATTTCTACATAGAAAATCACTTGCAAAAGAGTTTGTTCTGGGGCACAAGGTCTCTGAAAAAGCCTCCTCCCTAGCCCTGCAGTACAGACACATGACACATGAGCAGCCTGGCCTGGGCCACGCCAGCAGCTTATGTCCTGCCCAGCACTGGACACCGCTTAATAAAAGACACAGCTAATGTTTACTGTTTGCTCAGGTGGCCCAGCTCTCTGCTGGCCTTTAACACACTTTATCCCGTGAAATCCTCACCATAACTCTCTGAAGTTGGGATTATTACCCCTTTGGGCAAGTAAGGAAACTGAGAGACTGGGAGATTTGTCCAAGATAAGCAGTTTATTTTTTATTTTTTAATTCATGCTTTCTCTCTTTTTAAAATTTTTTCTTATTTTTTAAATTTAATTTCTCAATATACATTGTAGTTGATTTTCATGCCCCTTTACCTGTCCCCCTGCCCCCCCCCCCCCCCCCCCCTCT